TCACAGCCCGATTTGTAACCACTACGCTACCAGAGCTCATAAGTAGAATTGCTAAATCAAAGGAAATCTCTTAATTTTTTCCTTAAAAAAACCTTGTCAAATTGTCCTCCAATAAATGGGTGCCTATTTGCACTCACTGTAGCCAGTATAAGAGCATTCCTACTTCCCATACTTTTAACTTCACCTTAGCAGTGATAATGCTTGTATCTTTTGCACTTTGATAGTTGTGAAAACTAAGAAATCAAAGTAACTGCCCATGAGTGACTACTGACTCATGATGATCCTGTATGGTACGGAGTAGAACTGCCCCACAGGGTTTTCTAAGACTGTTATCGTTACTAAAGCTGCTTGCCAGCCTTTTGTTTTACTGTGCCACTGGGTTGGTTTGAACTGTCAACCTCTAGGTTGACATAAACTTGGTGCCACTCAGGGAGCTGATAGTGATAACATATGTTTAATCATAATAACAGCTTTCTAAGTGCTCTTGTGGTACAGTGGTTACAGCACTTGGCTGCTAACCTTATGGTCAGTAGTTCGAACTCACCGGTCAGTCATTCTGCAGGAGAAAATTGTAGCAGTTTACATCTGTAAAAGGTTGTACAGTCTTAGAAACACAATGGGGTAGTTCTATCACACATGGGTGGCACTAACAAAATTTCTCAACAGTTTAGGAAGCTAGAAATATGAATTCAGGGTGTCAGCTCTAGAGGAAAGCTCTCTCTCTGTGGGCTCTGGAGGAAGGTCCTTGTTCCTTCTGAGCTTTTTGTGGTTTGCCATCTCTCTTCCTGTGTCTGTGCTTACTCACTTGGTTATTTAATCTCTTTTGTATCTCAAAAGTTACTGGACTAAGACACCCCCTGCCCTGATATGATTACATTAACATAACAAAGAAAACCCATTCCCAAATGATGTGTTGTTATTAAATGCCTTTGATTGGATCAGACTTATAGGGACCCTGTATAGAGTTTCCAAGGAGCATATAGTGGGCTTGAACTGCTGACTTTGTGGTTCAAACCAACCTTGAGATCCAGTGCTTATCCTCCGGTGCCACACCAAGACAGGATTATGATTTACAGAACATCTTTTTGGTGAGCACAGCTCAAACCAAAACACAGCTGTTATGGGGGAAAGTTAGGATTTGTACCGAGTCCCTTCTTAATTCTAAGCCCAAGGTTTTAGCTTATGACATCTCTGTGTCTCAGTAACAAGGGACCCTTAGGGCTCCTATCAAGTTCAGAGTTTCACAGAATTATTTCCTTTGTAGCCCTAGGTCCTTTAAGTTTCAGAGGAAATGTAAAATAATTTTGGAAAATCTACCTAGTATATGCCATTTCTAAAGAGCTCTGGTAGCATAGTGGTTACGAATCGGGCTGCTAACCTTAGTTTGAAACTATCAGCTGTTCCGCAGGAGAAAAATGAGGTGTTCTGCTCCCATAAAGATTTACAGCCTCGGAAACCCTGTACGGGGTCACTATGGGTCGGAACCGACTCGACGGCACATAACAACAACAACAACAACAACAACCCTCTAATGTATTTGAGGGGACTTTAAAAGTTTGTAGAAAAATTCCATTATCTTTTAATTCCATTCCACTTTTTGAAGCCCCTTCTTATAAGACACATTCGTATATAAAAGGCTGTGCAAAGTCCTTAATTTAAAAAAGCTTGCTTAACTCTGTTTAACTCAAAGAGTCTTCAACATATGTGATCATAGAACATGTTTTTGACATACCCTTTAAACCTTAGCTCAGAACAAAATTTTGTAAATGAAGAAATCAGTCTCATTCTGTCACTTAAGAAATGACCAGAATCTGTCCAGCTTGTCAAGCTGATTCTAATTCAGTGATCTTATAAGACGGAGTAGAACCATCCTCTAGGGTTTCCATAACTGTAATCTTTACAGAGCAGATCAGCATATCCTTCTTCCCAGGTAGCAGGTGGTGAATTCAAAACGTTTCAGTTAGCAGCTGAGCTGCTTAACCATTGCACTGCCAGGTCTCCTGAGCTAGAACCTAGGTCTCGTAATCACCTTATACCATTTCTTTCTAGTATACCACAGTGCCTTTTAATTCAGTAAAGCCAATGTTTTAATTATTACTCTGTAAAAAAGCAACAAAAAGTTTAGCAGGTTAACATAATAAACAGTTATCACTTACAGTTCCTTAGGTCAGGAAACTAGGAGCAGCTTGGCCATGTCATGCATGGTTCTGGTTAAGGGTCTCATGAGGTTGCAGGCCAGATCCGAGGTTTGACTGGGCATGGATGGCCGGTTTGCTTACAAGATGGCAACTCACTCTGATGTTGGCAAGATGCCGTGGTCTTCACCAGTGTGCCTGTGTGGCCTCACAATATGCTGGCTTCTCTAGAACGAGGGATCTAAGATAGACAGAGTGCAAAGAGGAAACCTCAGTGTTTTTTATGACCAAGTCTCTCAAGTCACACCTAGCCTTTGGGTTTCTATCCATTAACACTAAAGCCAACCCTCACCTCAGGAGAAGCCATGCGGAAGAGTATAACATCATTTGCAGCTATATTTTAAGAGAACCACACATAGCCAGCATTTTTATTATTTTTTTAAGATCATAATGAAATATATTGATTCTTTCTCTGCTAAAGTAATAATGATAATATTTGTAAAATGTTACAACATACTGAAGTGAATGAAGTCCAAAGGAAAGTTACTTCTATAAAATAGTACCTTGTACATTCCCCATTTCTGGTTATGCATGCCTGCTGTTGAAAATACTTCTACTCAGTTAAATGCTGAGTTTAAAACTAGTTGTTTTTCAACAGATGCTTCTAAACAAATAATTGATTTAAAAAAAAAAACTTTCTTCATCGTAAGTTGACTCTATTTCAATAAAAGGGCTTTATATAGTAATTAATTAATTTTAAAACTCTGAACAAACTTTTGTATGCATTTGAGCTTTAGAAGCTAAAAGGCTTATTGGCTTAACCTGAGTTTCTTAAAGGAGTTTGCATCTCTTTAGTGGGTATCAGTAGTCATTTTAGGACAAAATTGGCCCACTGCCTGCGAGTTTATCCTGCATAGGATTTCCTAGGCTGTAAATCTTTATGAGAGCAGAAAGCATCATCTTTTTGCCAAGGAGCAGCTAGTAGGTTTGACCTGCTGACCTTGTGGTTAGCAGTCCAGTGCTTTTCCTACAGTACCACTAGGTCTCCTTTGTAGAACAAAAGGCACTTTAAAAAATAAATCCAAACCACTGCATTTTCTGTATGTGGGAGTGTGTTTACCCAAGGATCAAGCAGTAGTGATGGGGCTCATGTGACTCCTGAAGAACAGCCTTTCAGCATTTTTCTTGCTTTGATAGGGAAACTAACCTTCATTTCTTTGCTTTCTTGGTTCAAAGAAATTATGATGAGACCTCTTTTCTGATTTTGTTACCCAATTTAAAGCAAATCCAATTCCATTTTAAGAGTTGAGAAGAGTTTTAGGAGTTTTTCCTTCGGAACATGAACCATTCCCTATGAAAATCATTAATCATATTTTTAGTTGTTCACTTGAATTACTGTATTGTAACTTTTTTCATTGCATTTAAATATGACCTCAAGGCCTGAACAACTGTCTTGCATCATATTTGGCTGCTGTCTCTTTACAGAAGACCCATCATTTCCTGAGTTGAGGTGTATTTTCTAGACCTTTCAGGGGTCTGTTTAAGTGGCTCGTGCAGCATAGTATCTCTGCTCTCTAGCCCTGTTCACCACAGACATCTGAATTTTGAAAATAAAACGGTGTCACCCTTAAAAAGGTCTGATGTGTTTTCCTGTTGATTGAATTTAATATACACAACTGATTGTAGCCTTTTAGTGGAAATATGTTATTAGTTTCTGTATATATACCTTAATTTGGTTTTTTAAATCTAATTCTTATCATCTTTGTTTTTACCTTTGTCTAGATTGATGAGCAAATTGAAAGCATGTTTAATTCAAAGAAGAGAGTGAAGGATATGGCTGCCCCTGGAACGTCTAGTGTTCCTGCTCCCACTGCAGGAAATGCTGAGAAATTAGAAATTGCTAAGAGATTGGCTCTGAGAATAAATGCTCAGAAGAATTTGGGCATCGAGTCTCAGGTATTAAGTAATTTATTCCAAGTCTTAATACTTTTTTCAGTTCTGTGTTTTAAATATTTTCCAGGAATAATGTCAAGTACAAGTGAAATGCAAGTTGTCCTGGAGTTTGTGCAAATTTGACATTATACTGAATACAGAGTACTTTGATTATTGCATTTGAATGATATCTTTATCATGGTGAATTGAAGTCATAATGCCCATTCCAAAATGCCTAACCTTTCATGTTACACCCGGATAATTTTATAATGCAGTATTCTGATTGATTTTACTAAAATCTTAATGCAGTAAATTTTTCTCTGGGTCTGCTTTTACTGGGTGTGTTATTAGGTACACAAACAATTTTTCTGCAAGTTCAAATACCCAAGTTTCGTGATTCAAACTAGCAGGGTTTAGGCAGTGTTGAAATGTATTTAAAATGTTTCACATGGGAAACTTCTCTTGAAACCCTTTTTGTAAAGTTAATTTTTAACTAATGGTAAATTTCATAAGCATTTACAATGAATGGCTTCTTAATTTCAGCAAGATTTTGCGCAAATCATGTGCTATATATAACTTATGGAATGTTGGATTTGGCCATGGGAAGTGGGGGAAGTTCAATGATGGTAATGATACAGAACTCTTAATTCAAAGGAAGCTCATAAGAGCCATAAATTTGTAAATGATTTTGGGAAATATTGCATTATGCCTGATATAAAAAATTAGCTTACTATTAATGGAATATCAGTGATCCAATAGAATTTTTAATGGAGAATTGAATGTCCTTCAGCTTAGTCATCATGTTTGTTGTAGATATTATTGTTGTTAAGTGCCATCACGTTAATTCTGACTCATAAAGAGACCCTGTATACAGTTTCTTTGGGGCAGTTGGTGAGTTTGAACCACCGACCTTGTGATTCACAGTCTAATGGTTGTCCTACAGCATCACTTCAGTGCTAAATTGCATGTATGGCTTGGGCTTTGACTAGAAAGAGGCATTAGCAACAAGGGTTTTTAAAAAACTATTGTGAATTGAGTGAAGGTTTACAGAGCAGCAGGATATCAGTTTACATTCAACAAATGATTCTGTTCGTTTCATCTTAATGATTGCAGTTCTCACTTCCTCCTGTTTCTTGTTCCATTCCTTCTTCTTTCCCAACTCTTCTAAACTTTGTCCTACTACCCTTTTGCTCTTGAGGGGTTGACCATTCTCTAGTGTGCATACCTACCTCACTGGTGCTGGTTTAGTCCCCCTATATAGGGCACTTCAGGATAATGCGCTAGACCTCAAGGTCAGTTTGAACCACAAGGTTGGTGGTTCAAGCTCACCACCAGCTGCTCTCAGAAACCTTATATGGGGTTGCTATGAGTCAGAACTGACTCAACAGCACTTAACAGCAGCAATGTACCTATAAGGACTCCTGGTGTGGTACTGTAGGATTAACGCTGGACTGCAAACCACAGGTTGGCAGTTCAAACTTACCAGCTCTTCCTTGGAAACCTTATGTGGGGTCGCTATGAGTCGATACTGACTCAGAGACACTTAGCAACAACAACAGATATATCTATCAGGGACTCCTGGTGCGGTGCTATAGGATCAGCATTGGACTGCGAACCACAAGTCCAACAGCTCAAACCTACCAGCCACTCTTCGAAAACCCTATGTATGCAGGGTCCCTATGAGTTGGAACTGACTCAAAGGCACTTAACAATAGCAAATATACCTATATGTATACATATATGTTGTTGTTGTTAAGTGCCATTGAGTCGGTTCTGACCCATAGCAACCCTGTATAGAGTTTCTGAG